TCTCTCTCTCTCTCTCTCTCTCTCTCTCTCTCTCTCTCTCTCTCTCTCTCTCTCTCTCTCTATGGTTTGATTGAGTGAATTGGCATTAATTAAGCATTTGTTATAAAAGCAAACAAATAATTCAGTTTTGGTCACAAAAATATTAAAAATATACAAACTTTATACCGATGTATACATTATATCTCATAATTGTCTCTACGATCGCATTAATGAGCGCCTGATTCTCGTGTTGTGTTTGACTTTAGTTTTATTGCTTTAAAAAAAGTTTTTTTTGTGAGCGTTTAGTGTTCACTGTATTTGTCTGATGTGAGAGAGAGAGAGAGAGAGAGAGAGAGAGAGATTTACAAAGAAAATATTCTGTGAGAGAATTGGAAAATACTTTAATATTATTCAACACAAAACAACAACAAAAATATTCAACTCTTGGATTGAATACAAAATTGTATTTTTTTAAAACAAAAAGAATATTTTTTTATACGACTTTTATTATACAATTATATAAAATAATTTGTTGTCTATTTTTTACTCAAAAACTACAAATTTCTTTCCTTTCCATACAATCTGTTGGTCTCTTTAGCGGCACTTTAATAACGAAAACAAAATCGTTTTATTTTTAACTCCAAAATATAGTCTATTTTTTCTTGAAGTCACTCTTCTCTACATCTCTTTAAAAATATTCCTTCAAATACTCTCTTTATTGCTGTAAAAAAGACTTTTCACTCTTTTTCTACAGCAATAGTGTGTTTAGATTTAGACTTTAGAATTAGAAAATGTTTTCCAACACTCAATGCAATCCATTTTTGGTATCACTCCTCCATCCCTTACCTCTCTCTCTCTCTCTCTCTCTCTCTNCTGTCTTCGCAAAACAATTTATAAATAAATATATTTATATATTTTGTAAGCTTTCATTCTCTCTCTCTCTCTAACAGTTATGCAAAAATTGTTCAAAACATTTGTTACAAACCGTATCCATACTGATATGGGAGCGCATATACACTACTGGATACTAACCATAAGTTCCCTTCATTTTCGATATAAATAATATGTGTTTTCCTTCACATCAGAGAAGTAGAAAAAGACGTTATAATAATTTTGTTTCAAATATAAGTGCATTTTATACTAATAAATAGTATAATAAATCATTCACTAAAACCAGATGAGTGTTGTTAAAGTAAATCCCAAATAGATGTCTATCGCAAACAATTCACGTGTGGCAACACAACCCACACTATACAATGTATACATAGTATACAATAGTATACATGCCTACCAGTGATTTACATACATGTGTATAGAATATTCTTGTGTTGTTTTGTATTATTCCAGAAAATATACACACAATGAATGCCAACACTTACATAAAATGTTATACAATTGTTTGATTTGTCATTCAAGTCAACAGAGCATTGATTTTAATTGTTGCCAAACATTATATACTTTGCAAACAATTATCTCGTGTATACATAAAGAATAAGAAATAGATATAGCATAACATTAATAGCATTGATTTCTCAACTCATGTTTTAAATACAATACTCAACAATATATTTATAGATAAAGACTATTTAAAATTACATTTATTTAGACTTAAAAATATGCGTTAATAGTAATAGATATTAAAAAGTAATAAAAATGATTTCAATACAAACTTATTTATTATTAACTATAATTGGCTTTGAATTGAATGTGATATCGGGTGCGGAATATGTGCAACACTTTTGCGACAATACATACAGGGATTCATTGCTAGCATTGGGAGGAATCCTATCCATCGATGACATGATATTCGCCACAAGAAGTGCTCGAATGAGTGCTAATCACACAATTGTCTGGAGATTCAAATTGAAACCAATTGGCAATCAATTGAGAATCACTTCAATGTCTTCGATACCAATCAAACACTTATTTCCCGGTATTTTAAATAGCATTTAAAAATCAATTTTGTTTTTAACACAAGACATGGCATTTGGGAACAGATGTGACATTTGAGTACTTTGTGAGCGGATTCGCCATCAGTGGTGATGCCATCGATGACAGCAACACTTCATGCAGTGATGGACGACAACAATGTGTCGACGAGTTGTCAAACAAGAGTCGTTTGACACTTATTTTGGGACCAAAACGCGACAACTCTTCGCCACAACAGTACCGCACCTATAGATTCAATGGCCGCGAGTTTGACACTAATGTAGCGGACATTCCTCTGGGTCTTGAGCGCAACGGAACAACTAATAAGTGGTTCACTCCTTCGGCACTCATTACCGGCACTTATCGTCAAAAACACAAACAGATAATTGCCATCAATTATAACGAGAAAAGCATTAATCGATTGAATGTCTTGGAGTTGTCGTCACGACATGGGGTGATAGGGAACAGGTATTGGGAACCAGTGGTACACTATTTGGACATTAAGTCACACTATTATCACTTGATTGACATCAAAGTGTCTTCGAGTGAAAGACAAACACTTTTAATAACCGAACAAATGGTTTACCAACTCATGGATAACAATACTCTTCGGGAACTAATGGTAAGTGATATCAAGTGATGGATAATAAGTGTTAACTTTGCTATTCAATTGATAGCATCCGTGGCAACTGTTTGGCTGCGAATCGCTGGCACACAGCGTGTCCTTAAGAAGTGGCAGCGATGGCGGCCACGGATCAGATGGACAGCAATTAAATCAAAAACTGTTGGCCGGAGAGGGGGTGAGGCTAAACACTTTTGGTCATTTGGATCGCGTGCTTATCATTGAGTTCATTGTAGCCAACATTATATATGCATTCATTTACTCTCTGTGTCTCATATTTATTAATCGCATTTCCCTTTAAATAGTGATTTAGAAATTCAATTAGATTTATGTGTAAATCAATATTTATTAATAAAATGGTTTAACATTCATGCATTTGTATTGCTTGTATACGCCCTCTAACCCCCCCCCCACCCACTCTCTAAACGTCGCCCTTTGAAAGCCATATGAAAA